GATAAAATATGTATTATAACGTTGTAAGACTCTCAGGCATTCTTATTCCTTTCAAATATTTATTCTGATGTAGATCAACGTTACTGTTATCTCTGCTGAGTCGGCACAGTGACAACATGAAGGTATGAATTACTCTTCCATCCTTTAAATGGGCACTTGGCACCCATTCACACCGATGATACATGAATTCACTTTTAAGAATTTACAATTGAATGAATTAACTTCTGCTCGGGTTCTAAACTTTCTGCATATTCAAAACATATCTCACATATCTGTGGAGCATCCTCCTCTCTGACACCACCACCAAAGAATCCAGCTCCCCCCGCAGGACAGAGCCAGTTGAGCGAGTTGATTCTGTTCCGGTCGACTGTCCTCACCCACAGAAAACAACACGCTACCACGGACTAGAACATCCTCAGCATGGCTCTGCAGACATTGAATGCAGGAAGTAGAGTTGGCTTCGGCCCTTCTGGTGCACAGTCTGTGTGCTGAGTCGAGTTCAGCTTGTTGTCCAGAGGTACTCCCAGGTACTTGTTCTGCACTGTGTCCCGATCCAACCCCTAGATGGAAATAGGGAGAGTGAAGTCCACCACCAACTCTTTCATCTTACCAGTGTTAAGTTGCCGGTGGTTCCGCCCACACTAATGCAGGAGTCCACTCTGCGCCTGTTATTAAAGTGGACCAACAAATGGATCTCTCCTGTAAAGATAAGTGCATCACCCTTGTGAAATATTATTTTTCATGTTTTTTTTTCTTGTTAATGTGAAAATAAATTGTCCACTTTTACAAATAGCATTGTGAGTTATTTGCAGATGATTGTTTTCTGGCAGCCTAACGTGGAGCCCGCAGCGAGCTACACCTCTCTAACTCCCCCAGATTCCTTTCATTTTCTAAGTGACACCACTCGAGGACATTTAGCAGACTTCACACAGCGCCCTCTTGAGACACTTCCTTTCACTTTTTCCACACATATGCAGTACACGTGGAAACAAACTTTAATGTGTAAAAATAGATCACCAGCTGTCACCAGCAATGCTAAATGCAAAGCTTGTATTTTGGTGGATTTTAACAGGGCTGAAAGGTTGTCCAGCTGCTGCTGCTCTGCATTGAACAAATTAGGGAGCACTTCAAAATGTAACACTGACCTCCAAAGACACTGAGCTCACTGAGGTTTGTCTTTGTTTGTTTTTTGTAATGTCTATTATGTTTTGCTCCTCAAATTACAGTATGTAATGTCTGTTATCAATGGTGTGTGTGGAGTGTTCTAGAAAAAAACCCATAGTACTTCAGGTAACACAGTGAATGCTACGTATTTAATTCACATATTTTACTTTAAAACACGGTGATGTTTAAAAGACATTTAAAAGGTTTTTCAACAACTATTTCTTGATTCTCGACTAAATCCCGTTGAAATCTGATCTAAACGTGAACGTTTAATGAACGTCTTCAAATAGTCAGTGAAAAAACGTTCACTTTTGAACCACTTTTGAACGTCTTTTCAACGGTGGCCATAGTTGTCTTTTAAACGTCTTTTCAACAGGAAAATGCTGACTGGGCTCCCTCTGCTGGTGTTTAGTTTGTCCCTTCTGGGCTACAGTAGAAACACGGCAGTGCAACATGAAGAGGACTATGAAGGAACACGACTTATAAGGTTAAAAAAGACCACAATTCTTACTTTCAGGTGATCATACACTAATTCATTTTTTTTTACAAATATTATAATAAATCATAATTTTCCTTTAACGTACGACTTGGGTGTTATTTTTGTAGTTTTGTCCATAGTTTCTATCAGTACTAATGAGTAAATGAGTGAGATCTGGGAACACAGTGACATCACTAAAGAGAAGTGAAAACAGGTCAAGAGACTCGGATGATCAGTAAGGTTGGAAACAAACCTCTTTGGGCGAGACATCAAAGACGGACTGTAGAATGATTAGCCAAGCTGTCTGCTGTTAACATCTATCACAACTTACAAACCACGAGCAACAACTCACGGCCAGTTTGACCTCCACATGCAGTGGTTTAGATATTCTGGAGAACCTGATTGATGATGTGTGTGACTTTGTTGTAGATGTCACCCTGCTGCCCAGTAAGTGCAGTTTACTGGCCTCACACACTGTATTTGCTGTCCACCAGCCTACCTTGTTGCCTGTAGTGCTGTTTTAACATCAAATGGACCTTATCGGCATGCGTCTGACGCCCGAGTCTTCTCTCAGGTCCTGAGGTGTTTAATCTACCCGACCTGCAGAAGGCCTGCTCGCTGTGTTCTCCGGCCTTTGTGTTGGAGAAGGCTGACGATGGAGCCCTTTTTGAAAAAGGCTTTAAAAGAAGAATAAGGCTTTAACGCATCAGATAGTTGAGATAAGAGAGCAATGTTTTTAAGAGCCATGTCCAGCTGCCAGATACCGGCAGGGATGTGACTCGACTGCTCATGGCCACGCCTAATGGTTGAATTTGTGGCAGATGGATAGAGGCGTAGTGAAGTGTGGACGCTCTATTATGTGCGCTGCAAGCCATCAAGCAGTCAGCCTTGTTGCGGTGCACTCATTCCAGAAACACATGCAAACACACATTCATGTTGTATCACAAAGAATCTTCGCAGGAAGAACAGCAAGTTGAGCTTCAGCCATTGGAGGAGCATGCCATTCAGGATCTCAGTTGTCTGCAATCTGACCCCTTCAGAATCACATTCAAATGTTGTTAGTTGTGCTTTTTTGTTACATTATTAAAGGCAAACTGAAACTTAAGTCGTCCTCAGTTTATGTGTTACAAAGCCATAGTTATATAACCATTGTTTGTAGTTTTCAGAAGAGGTTAAAAACATGTTAAGTTATAGTTTTGGACACAGCGTCTAAAGGCTGGGCCATGCATCCAGTCATATCAAATATAAAGTATTTTCTACGAGTATATGTTTTCAACACATGTATGAAAATAAGTTGTGATTTACAAACCGTGTGTTTCTTCTAAATGGCTGGTTTATCTATTCAAGATAATATGCGTTGGTGTGCAAATGGAAGTAAGTCTCATCAGGAACATTCACTCTTCTCACCATTTATAGAAAAGGCCTGTTGTGAATTGGGTCGCGATGGTTTGTCATTTTTAAATAGTGGATCCCCAGAAAAAAAGGTTTGGGAACACTGTGATAGGCTCTACACATGCAGCTCAGAAAAGAAAAGAATTACATTAATAATAATAATAATAATGATAATAATACCATTACTAACAGTAACAAAAATAACTGTAAAGATGGTGATAATAACATACATAATAGATTTTTCTCCTATAGTGTACCTTATGAAGATATCTGTATTGAATGAGTTGGTGGATATAGGGACGATGATCTGTAGGTCTTGTTCCCTTTGTTTTGAAGGGATGGATATTGTTAAATTGGACGCAGAGGTTATTTTATAGATATATATAGTGGAGCACCGCAGCTGATGAAATTATCATCATCTGTAAGATAACATCAAATAGTCTTAAAGAACTGCAGAACAGAGCGTCAGTAGTTCAATAATCTTCTAATACTGTGCATGTATCCCCAACAATTTCAGTTTTTCATCTAGTTTTTGTGAGTAAAATCTTTATTGATTGATTTATGGTGTATTACACAGAGACAGATACAGCATACAATCATTTTGGAAGCAATCAGTGTGATTGCTGTAAACATATCAGTAGTGCGGTGAGCCTCGTAATATGTATTGTTGCACGATAGGACTGTGAGTGTTCAGGGATCTCTCCATCCACAAGCACTTCGATATCTGTGGCAGAAAAATTCCTTTTCTTGGTCTTCCTCTCTGGAAGTGGGAGTTACCCACAATTCACAGCAATGTGACGTTAAACACGGGGTTACCCATAGACAGGATATAAGGGGTTACAAGTGGAAGCCGCAGACATTAAAACAAGGTAAACAAAGAGGACGTCACGCGGTGTTCAGCTTTACATACACATTAAAGATGGAACATAAAAACACATGGAAGCAGAGGAGACTATTTCACACAGCTGGTTTATTCATCAAACGTGTCATTATGTCCCTGAAGCTATTAGTTATTATGTTCACGCTCAACCATCTACCAGGTGACATAAGCTAAGTCCCTGAAGGTTCAGGGTTTAAGGCCTGAGGGGGGACACTGGGACTGGGCCTTTATTTCTGCTCTGAGGATCAAGGAGTGAGGAAGGATCTCTGAGGAGCCGTGAGCGAGGACACAATAGAGCAGCGTTATGGAAGTCTTTTAACACCCTCCTTGGTTCATCACTGAAGTTTCATCCCAGAGTGACGACAGATCAAAGATTGAACTCAAATGTGTCACTTCCAAATTTGATTCATTTTCTGATTCACCATCTGGATTAACATATATATATATATATATATTAAAATACATGTCCATTGTAGGTCTAACAACAAAAGAACCAACACACAACTTTCTTTCCACATTTATTCAAAAGATTTGTCTTTTCACGATCTGTCACATTATTTGACTTTCCCCTGAAACATTTAGCCTAATACACAATGTACAGAGTTAAAAAGACACCATATTCATATTTTAGGTGATTAAATAATGACCTCAGAATAAATAATGTAAAGGAATTCTGCCAGTAGAGCTGGTTCCTGTGCCTCAGCAGGACATAATGCTGCTTGTTATTCATGTGCAGGTGTTTGTCTTTATTAATATTAGTAGAGTAATCATAACTGTGTATTTATTAGTATTAGTACAGTGATGATAACTGTCTTTATTAGTATTAGTA